GGGGGGGGGGAATCGGACGCTACTGGTGGAAGAGCAGCACCGTTTGACCTCCAACGGCAGTTTCTAATACTTCCGATAGCAATGCAGTAACTTACCCTAAAACTGCTTTGGCTAGAAATTTTAGCTTAAATCTTCGACCTTCATTTCTGGCAAAAAGCAATGAAGTATCAATAACACTGGGGTGGATCATCTGAAGGAGAGAAAAGTCATGCATTTAATATAACAGCAGTCTTATGGAACTGGGTAGTAATTGCATGGCTATTGGTACTTCTGCCTTTTCATTTCAACTGTCAGTTTCTCACTGATAAATAACTGGTCCACAACAATGCAGCAGACAGGAATAATGAAACAGGCCAAAATCTCCTTCCTAACATTCTATCAGGAAGATCCAGATTGGGTTAGAAAGAGTAATTATGACTCAAGCATATTAGGTCTGTGAAATTAAACGTAGAAGGGACTTAACTTCTTCCCATGACGGAACTATCAAAGGCACCTGGCTGAAGCAGAGAGGTAGATCTGCTGTTGCAACTACATTTATTTCTGGACAAACTCCTCCCTTCCCTTTGGGTTCTGAACAATATCTTACAAGTTTTATAGATTTACAGGGAGTATGCTCTTAAATACTTATAAGGCTATTCACAACAGAAAGCAACCCTTTGTTATTAACAAGTGTTTACTAATAAAAACAGGAATTGTTTGGGTGTTTTAGGTCTGCAATGAGTATCACAGGATTGAGAAAAACACTCTTAAAGCATACTCACTTGCAAGGCTTGAAGATCAGCATTTAAAGAATGACCCACCAATACTGCATCATGGGGAAGCATTTTTTTTAGTCTGGTTTGGATGTCTGCCAGTTTTGTTTTCACTGGAAGAAGAATTTTTCTTGTGATTCCTGAGAATCTTTAAAACAAAAGTTGGCCAAGGCAAAAGCAACACATTAGCAACAGCACTTACTGGAGGACATTACAAGCAAGGCATGTAAAACAAACTCTGCCTAACAAGACTAATGACAGAACGCTATTTACTGCTTCCTATCTAAATCTATTCCAATGTACTTCAGGGATATTAAACTGTTTTAGGTGCTGCCACGGCTGTTTCAAAAGGTTGTTCTTAAATGTTGCAACTCTTAGCATCAGACAGCACAGGTAAGAAAACACTGCCAGGCTGATGTGGAAGGAGATGCTTCCAAGTAACCTGAAGGGATTGGCACTTCCCCTCAGCCTAATGTTGGGCCAAACTTTGGAGAAGATGTGGCTTGAGTTTTGTTTGCTTTTGTTATGAAACTGAGCCAAACCCTAGAGCTGTGTGCAAGCTGATGAGCTGCTCTATTCTTTTTTTACAGGTGAGCAAACTTCCCTATGGAGCGGACAGACCCAGGCTGCAATCCCATATCTTACTTATCCTGTAGCCAACAGTGAAAGGGTAATCTGTGCTGTGTATCATTAACCCGTTAACACAACTTTTCCTGGAACACTGCAGAATGAAAAGACTTCTACCTAGACACAGAGGCACTATGTAGCAGAAAAGTGCATGCATAATATTAGTTATTCTAACCACATAGTAAGAACCGTATTCTTAACACTGAGTGAAGTGGAGCAGACAACTGTGAAAGCGTACAAGCCGAAGCCCTCTGAAAGGTCCTGTTTAACAGGCTTAATTTGAAGGGGCTGCCGATCTTAAAGATGAATAGGTAAAAAATGTATACGCAGGTCACCTGGTGCGGTAGTTCACTATCCTGCTTTCAGGTTTGACTAGTTCATTCAAGAGGCAGCGACCCTGTGCATCCACTAAAGAGACACGAGTGACTTCATTGCCTTTTGCCGTCAGACACTGTCAGAAAGAAGCACAGGCAGATGGTGAACCAGCATGCTGCCTGCCATCCAAAAACCTTAGCTAACATCTGCTTTGGCTGCAGCCAGCACTACTACTAAGGACTTTTACTTAGAGATCTACCACTTACAGCTAGCTCTTTAATACTGTAGCATGCTTCGTTTTAATCCTTAAATGCCCACCGTAAGTGCAGCAAACAAACAGGCAAGTGCAACACAGAGAAAGCCATTACAAAGTACCAATGTCACAGAATCAGTTTATACTCTGCACTGTGCAAATGACACTGAGGGTATCTTTTCCGGAGAAGCTGTGTAATTTAAAAGCAGAGCCTGGGCTGTATCTTTAGTCACTCAACAGTGAGGCCAATTAGATGTTTCTGCAAAGTCAAAACTGCACTAAGGAAGGGTTCTTCACCACAGCAAGCTGCCAGAAGAACTGTGATGGATAAAGGAAATGTGTGTGTGGCAGGAAGAAATCTTTTCCCTTCCAAACCTTGGGGAGGGCTGGGAGGAAGAATTCCAGAACAACCTCAGCAGATTACTGCAGCATCAGGGACAGGCCCAGTGGATCCAGCTGCTGCTCTGAGAGTCTAGGCAGAACCAAACTCTCTGCTGCACTGCACAGGACAAAGGTAACACTTCTGTCTTCTTTCCAGAACTGCTTTCCGAGTCCTTCCCATGGCTGTATTAGCATTGGTGCCACCAATGAAGGGACTGGCAGTGGTTATTAATATGTCAGAAGTGGTTTAGCAAATACACAAGGTGCGTGGCTCAGTGTGGAATAGCTAATAGGAGATGAGTTGCTTGACTGTGTTCTGTAAGGCCACACATTTATTTTTACCATTTCACAATCCAGACCAAAGAGGGGGCTGCTGTCTGTCCTCTGCTGATCACACTCTGTGTACATATAGTCCTCACAGCCAGGGGAGCCTAGAATGAAAAGATACCTGTGAGTAAGACCCCTCTCATATAGTAAGGCAGGCAGGCAGCAGAGATGATTTTGGGGTACAAAGGACATATCTTACATGATCAAACAAGCCACTAACTGTCAAAATTTTAAAAAACTCTAAAAAACTGACCTTTCATGGGATAATCATTCTTTTTCAGCTCTTCTAAAGTTAGAGTGTAGCTAGTCATGCCTCGTTTTTCTTTTCCATATTTCTGGATAATAGGATCCCACTGCAAGTCTGAGCTGTTAGGAACACATTCACTGCTAGTGGAAGTCAAGCCTGTAATATACATTTAAAAATTAGAAGCATCTGTCAAGCTCAGATAACACTCCTTACTTGCAGTCAGTTTTCTCCATTAGTATGTACACTAAGAGGCTGCACCTTTTCAAAGGAAAACACTACCTGAAGCAATGAACTCTTAACTCAGGATACCTGACTCTTACTCCCAGTCCAGCTACTGATACTATTAGCTGATCATGGGCAAGTCACATTACAAGCCTGTGGGCCATGTCCCTTTCAGTAAGAGAGAGAACATACTTTCCTCATAAACATGACAGCATAATAGTCTCTTATTTTGTGAACTGTAAAAGAAATTCTATTTTTTTTTTAAACTTCTCTGTGAAATTCTTTCCCATAAATATGAGGAGCAAATATGCTCTTAAACGTGGCTCACAAAGACACAAACATTGAATCGACCCCAGAATCCACAGGTGTGCGAAGTTAAACTCTCCTGCAGGGATTCTCTGCAGTTTACACTTAAAGGAAAATATACCTGACATCTCAGATCTGTGACTGTGCAGTAGGTTTACAGTCCAGATGCTAGAGGACTTTTCAACACACTGAAAGTAACAGCTGTTCATTCTCCCATTTAGGACTTGAATTCAATGTTCTTTGTGTTACACTTCTAAAGATTTCAGTGAAGTTTTCATTGTAGTCTCTTGCAGGTTTTGTACAAGCCTGTAGGATTACAATCACCTCTATTAAGAGTGTAAAAATAGGAAATCCGTTGTCAACACACCTGTTCTGTACCTTGATTTGCTGCTCAGTATAACAAAGAAAACTAGTAACAAATGAGTAACTACCTAGCTTGAATCTATTTTAGATCTCTGTATGTTTTACGAGACACATCTTAGAATAAAATGATCATAAAATGGATAAGGAAGCAACAGTATTTTGGATTAAACATGTTAAAACTTTCCCTCCGCTTTTTGCATTTACTTGTGATTATAAGCCCAACAGAGAGCGAAGGAACTAGTTAGGGGAACTATCCTCACGGTTTAAGCTATCACGTGTTCTCCTTTGTAAACAAGCTTACCACAGCAGCATGCTGGGATTGCACAATATACATAGCCATTAAACTGCTATTCAAAGTGAATCACTGTGGTTGAAAGAGATGATGCAGAACCAAGCAAGATACCTTGTGCAGTGTTTTGAGGATTCAAGTTTGCTTCTTCTCCATACAGGTTGGCTAGGAAGGTAGCTGAAGAAGGTGGTAATGTGAATCTCTGAAAAAGGAGACACGTTAGAGACTTGGAATCATAACAAAAAAATACAAATAAATAAAGAGATGTTGTTTTATTCCTAAAACCATCCAAATTTGGAGGAGGATGGAATTATAAAGTAGTGGAAGTGTGTTTCAGATTCTCTCAAGAAAAAAAAAAAAAAAAAACAGTTTTAACGGTGTACACCACAGGTCTTTGTACTAAGAGATAGCTCTGCCTTGCCTGATATGATCAAGAAGGCTAATCTCAGACTTTCACTGACAGAAGCCAGAGCAAGTTCCAAACTTGCCAGTTAATTTGTAATTTGCATTTGTGGCAGTTAAGGGAGAATTCTCTAGAAGTCTCAAAGTACATCTTTCTTCCTTCAGAAACGTTGGCTGTAACTCGGAAAATTAAAATAATTATATTAATAATGTTTTCAGGAAATGGGAGAAACTTGAAATAAAATGCAAATAGTAAAGGTGAGATTTTCAACTGGTGGGAACAGCGTAACTATTGAAATTCTTCTCGCTCACGCTCAGAGTAAATTCCAAATCAACCAAGATATTGTTAATCTCTATGGCATCCTAAAGATGCAGAAATAATCAGAATGCTGAAACATCAATGTATAAACATTTCCCCTGCTAAGACTTCAAAGACATAATTCTTGAAAATCGCTGAATGGCAAAGCTCTGGCCTTTGCTCTGAGCTGACAAAAGCTACAAGTAGATCCTCTTACTATCTTGCTTTGTGATTCAAAGAGGGCCACTTCCTATTGGTAAGGAAATAATTTCACGGCAGGGATTAAATGTTGGGACATGCCTTCATGATTGGAAGAGGTGTAGCAGGCCGCAATACAATTTGGGGACTTACATGCCGGAACACTTTTCTGAGGTGTCTGAACTGTAAATAGAATTTGTAGAAATGGAGTTGGCTCATTTCATGCAGAACAATAACCACAACCCCAGCCAGGTGGCTTTGGTGATAAATGCGGCACCAGCTGCAATTAAAAATAAATAAATAAAAGGAAAACAATTATCAAGCACTCTTAAAAACAAACTTGGACCCAGTCCAGCTTTCATGTCAGTCAATGGCAGAGTGCCAAATGACTTCAATGAGAAGGGGCTTTTATAGCTTATCTCAACCAGCCACATATTCCTGGAAACAACAGAATACGGGAGACAGAGAGAGAATGAGTTGTACCCGAATTCTGCTTCGGTACCCTTTCAAATCAAAACCTGTCTCATCTGTATGCATCGGAATACAAATACATGTAAATAAGTTCAGCTGTAGTGACACAGTATAGTCAACAAAACTGATGAACAAAATCACTTTAATCAAAATGGAAAGCTTCACAGCATCATTTTCCAATCACTGTTAAAAAATTACAGTGAGAATACTTTTGCCTCAAGTTTTAAGTTTTATTTCAAGCTTTGTAACATTTCACCATACTTTTCCCATCCAAGGTTATACAACCTTTATATTCCCTTTTCCTTTGATTGCTGAAAAGTTCAGGTTAAAAAAGGGCAAAGTGATTAAAATGTTTCTCCCAAAACACTACAAAGCGTTTCAATTACTTCTGACATAAAACATGTCACGTTAATATTTTTAACCCAGTATTTCATTTCTCAGAGTAGGAAATTTTTGTTCCACAAAATATTGTTTAGTTTTTGACAACTGCATGAAACAAAATTATGAAATGGACGCATTTCTGTCAGCAGAGGAATCCTGTTTCTGGCCAGGTAAAACAACCACTGTATCTGTATAATACAGGTAGTCACTATGGCAACTGTGCTGCAAGGATCCCAAAACCAGCACTGACTGTATGCCTTCACGTAAGTTTTCACAGCCGGCAGCACAGAAGACACGATTGTTTCCCAAACATGGGTTATACCTGGGTTGTGTTGCATTGTGGCATTTTCCCAAAGCTGCATACTTTAACAACTCATACACCTGGTCGTGGCTGATTTCACAGTCCTCACCAAATAACGCTGCTGACAAGCGCGATGACTTTTCCTGTAAAAGAGAAATAAAAGACAGGTTTTATGTAATCACATAAGTTCATGGAAAATGAAGGGAATTATAGAGTAAAACTACACAGTAAGTACTACTATAGTAAAATGTATTATTTAGGTACAATAAACTACATTTAAAATAACTTTTCCTATCGTTATGGACAACGGTTCCCTTTCAGATCACACTGTAATATTAAATTTACTAATTAATATTTCAGTAACCTAGATGCTCTAATTTGAAAGATGTATTTAATAAGGATTAGCATAGGTAGAAATACGTAACAGGGAGACTTAAGGTTACTTAATTTGCAAACATGGCGTTTCACTCTCTCAACCTGTTCACCTATTGCTGCTGTAGAGCTTTGGGCGTTTATACAAGGGTTATATGGAGCCACTTCACAAAAGGTTTTGTTGAAGCCCGTTTATTTCATTTGAATTACGTGATCTGCTTTGGCAGATAGGTTTACTGACCCCTGCAGGAAAAAAAATGTATCAGTAAACGTTAAGGAAACTGTAAGAAGAAAGCGTCAGACAGAAGAGATGAGCACAGACTGTACCACAAAGTCAACACAACAGTTCTTAGGGCCACAGTCCTCAACTCATGAATTCTCCTAAAAGCTAATAAGTAAGCAAAACAAATGATTGTAGAGACTTCCATTTGCCGTTTGGCCTGTTCCAGTGGAGCTACTATAATCTACAAAAATGTTAAAGATAATCTTTGTTGCATGATGGAAAGACATCATGGTATGCTGGAAGAGAGACCATAAAAAAACACAGAAGATCAAATCCCACCAGATAAAGAACCACCATGAGATGTGTTTTCCCCACCACGCTAATAAACTCTGTGCTCATTAAGTTTGACAGAGCCTGCCCCAGTGGGATTGAGCCAGTTTAATTTTACAGTCGTTTGTCATTGAGTAAGAAAGCTAAACAGAGGTGACAACCCTTTAGGTTCAAGTGGTTAAGAATCACCTGTTAATAACATGTGGTGCCATAATTATTAGTCCCTCATCTCTCATACTAAGTTGGGTAAAGAAATAATGCCGCTGTTGTTTTCAGTGCAGCCTAATTAAAGATTTGCAAAATAATGAGCAGAAATTTCATTTCCCCTGGCAACCACAGGAATTTCCGTTTCTAATCCAATACAAATCAGACCCATCTCACAGTCTAAGATGTACTTATTCTTCTCCCAAACTGAGCACTGAATTAATTTTAACCTGGATGACACACATGTTACCGCGAGCTTGAAACTTTGGGTTCACAGCACGGTTGAGGTTGGGTGGGACCTCTGGAGATCATCTAGTCCTGTCCAAGCAGGATGCCCAGGGCCACGTCCAGACGGCTTTTGACTGTCTCCAAGGATGGAGACGCCACAGCCTCTCCGGGCCACCCGTGCCAGTGCTCCGTCACCCTCACAGCAGAGCAGTTTTTCCCTACGTTCAGGCGGACCGTCCTGCGCTGACTTGTATCCGTCAGGTGTGAATTAACCAGATACAACTCTGCCTTCAAGATCTAGTTTCTACGGGGGAAAAAACAGTTAGAAAGTTTGTTTTTAACAAAACTCCTTAAATATAAATGCCTAACGCTTCAAGTGAGTTCATTTTCCACGTTGTTTTTTTTTTCCTTTCTTTTTTTTTCAGGAGAAAGAGCTAGTATCTACCTGCAGTCTAAGCTCTAGCTAGACGGAAGAAAAACACGCCTTTACTGTTTCCGGCATCCCAACGAGTAAGGCAGTAAACCTGCTGAGGACACAGCGCGGGACGCCGCCGCCCGACGCAGCCCTCACAGCGTACGCGTGCGGGCAGCCCCGCTTCTGGCGCTGTTTTCACCTTTGGCTTGGGCCCACTGGGGCACACACCGTCACCGCCCCGTCTCCTCTTCTTTCTCGCTCCCTGCGGCTCCCCCGCGGCCTCGCCGCGCCTCTT